TGTCCCCTACAGAGGGATTTTGGGCAAAAAATGAAAGTCCCAAGCTGCTCAAAAATAGTCAAAAAAACCAAACGGTTTTTGACTATTCTTGAATATTCATCCTGTAGAGGGACAGGCCCGACTTAATAGTCATTCGAGCCAGCGCATTTGGCCGCATTGGATTGGCATCGGAGCCCGGACGTACTGAATTTATCACACATTCACACTCTACGAGAGCGCCTCCCTGTGCTGTGAGGGCTGCGGCGATGCCAACCGCCAGCTACACACATCAGGCCCGCATGGCTCCCCCCCGAGCCAGTCTAGAGAGCAGAAAACCCACCCTCATAACAATCACCCCGACACGCGAAGCCGTCTGGTAAAAACTAATCCAGAGAAGAAAGCGAACAGGGCGGGGCTGTTTCGTCAACGCCAATTGTCGGGTCCAGGAAGCTTTTCCCCCCCTGAGCCAGTCACCTCCCCTTGGCGGCGCGCACAAGGGGGTGGGGGGAGGGAGGAGAGCTTCTCAGAAGGAGGCTGCTTCTTAGAAGGCGCCGGCCTCACATCTATAGATGAGGCCCGCGCCTCCCAAGAAGCAGGGGTGCTTCTAAGAAGCCCCCCCCCCTCCCCCAAAACCCCCTCTGCGCGTGGCTGAGGTCCCCCCACGGCGATCCTCTCTCGTCGGCCTCTCTCTCTCTCTCTCGGGGGCGAGCCAGGCAGCCCCCGGGCGAGGCGCGGCTGCTGGAGACGAACACGCCCGAGGCTGGAAACACCGCCGAGAATCGGTGCGAACGTCCGACGCTGCACAAGTGGGGGCGCGCAAACATGGATCGGGAAGGTGCCCTCCCCCAAATGCGGCCGGTGCCGCCTCGCTCGGCGGCGGAAATCGCCCTCTTGATCCATGTTCGCGATCGCTTGAGACAAGCGCGTTCTACTACTCTTAGGTCGGGCGTGTCCCCCTACGGGCGGATGTTTGGACGAAACATAAAAAAGTCACAAAATAATCAGACACGGTCAAAAGCAGTCGAAAAATCGTCCCCTGACTGTTTTTGTCTGACCACTCTTGAATACTCGCCCTGTCGAGGGACACGCCCGACTTGACACTACTCGCAGAGGAACTGATGGCAAATGGTCTGGATCCGCCGAGCGGGACCCACGGTCCATCACATCGAGGAAAGCCCGTGTGCTCTCTGACGTCTCCGAACGGGCTCTTATGCGAGCAGCGGAGCGCGCTCGGCGAGACCGCCTCCCACCTCGATTCCGAGAAAGTCGTCCCCCTCCTCCTCCTCCTCCTCCTCCTCCTCCTCCTCCTCCTCCTCCTCCTCCTCCTCCTCCTCCTCCTCCTCCTCCTGCGGGTGCCGTCAGTCGGCGGCGAGCGAGGGAGGGAAGTGAGAAGGGGAAAACCTTCTCAGAAGGTCTAGGCCACCCAGATGGGGTGGGAGTAGGTGGGGTCGGAGGATCGCGCCGCATCGCCGATGCATCGGCGATGCGGCTCGATGCGGAGCCCGATTTGCTTCGCATCGACGTCGCCGATGCATCGCCGACGTCGGCGATGCGTCGCTGATGCATCGCCGATGCATCGCCGATGCATCGCCGATGTATTGGCTATGCGGTGAGATCCTCCGACCCCATCTTCTCGGACCCCATCTAGTAGGCCTCTAGAAGGCGGCGGGAGTTCTCAGAAGCCCTGGCGCCTTCTGAGAGGCTTCTTCTGTGTCTTAGGGGAGGGCATAGAAAACTTCTCAGAGGGGGGCACTTGCGAGCCTTCTGAGAAGGCCCGCTCCTTCTCACTTCCCCCCAGGCGAGGAGGAGGAGGAGGAGGGGGAGGAGGAGGAGGAGGAGGA